TTTGATATTTGCAAGCACGTGAAAATGCCTTTCCCTATTCCTGCAGTTGTCTGGATAATTTATTTATTCTAATGTATTGTTTAGTGCAAAACTATTAAGTGAGCTTCAGGTTATATTGTTACATTGTTGCTTATTCAGTTATGTACGGCTGGGGCAGGTGACGACAAGGAGGGAAGACGCCTTCGTCACTTACTCTTTCCTTTCCTGAGATTTCTGCAGCTTCTGCGTGTAGATACTTAAGCCTAAAAGGGAAGACAGTGTGCATATTTTGCCTCCTGGGTCCCTGTCTCGACTGTAACACTGAATGGCTGTGAATTTGTCAAGATAGTTTTTCTGAGATTTCATTTCTTCACCTCTAAAGGTCTTCCCAGGCTGGAGGGTTAAATGAGGTGATGCAGATGAAGCCGCAGAGCAAGGATCCTGACACGTAACAGAGGGTAGGCAAATACCTGTCCTCTCCTTTGCTGTCCCTTCAATTGGCCTTCACCAGCAGACCCAGAGTCACAACACCTCTGACCTTCAAATAGTCTATTAGTAGCAGAACCACATTTTAAGTTATGCGTACGGTACACACTACCGTGTGTGTATGTTGTTTAGGAAGGTCATCCTAGAGAGTATGTCTGATGGAGAGAGGGACTGTGTGTTTGTGGTGTTGTTTTTATTGTTGTTCTATTCCCAGTTATGCAAGGCACAACTCCTGGCACCTAGGATGTGTTTGTTGCACTGGAAAGAAATAATCCTAAGAAGAGAATCTGTGTGCCTCAAGAGCTGGGGCATCCATTATGTCAAAGTGGATCTGTCATGTGCATGCAACATGCTGTGCCACATGACGCTATGTACCAAAATATTTACAGTAGAAATTTCTGAGTGACAAGGTTAGGGGATAATAAGTTTCCTCCCTCCCTTCCTCCCTCCCTCCCTCCCTTCCTCCCCCCTTCCTCTTTCCCTCCCTTCTGCCCTTCCTCCCTCCCTCTGTCCCTCCCTCCCTCCCTACCTCCCTCCCTTTTTCCCTTCCTCCCTCCCTCCCTCCCTTCCTCCCTCCCTTCCTCTCTTCCTCCCTCCCTTCCTTCCTCTCTCCCTCCCTTCCTCCCTGTCTCCCTCCCTCCCTCCTTCCCTCCCTCCTTCCCTCCCTTCCTCTCTCCCTGTCTCTCTCCCTCCCTCCTTTTCTCTCTACCTGTCTCCCTCCCTCCCTTCCTCCCTCCCTTCCTCCCTTCCTCCCTCTCCCCCCCCCTCCCTCCTTCCCGCCGTTCCTCTCTCCATTCCTTCATTTTTCCCCTTCCCATCTTCCTTCTTTACATCCTTCCTATTCATCTATTTTTTCCTAAAATTGATATCTTATAAAATAGAAAAAGATGCAAAAACACTTTAGCTCTTGAAAAACTGATTTCGACCAAGTGCAGTGACTCACATCTGTAATTTCAACACTTTGGGAGGCCAAGGCAGGAGGATTGCTTGAGCCCAGGATTCTGAGACCTGGACCACATAGTGGGACCTCCCCTACCAATAATAATAATAATAGTAAGTGGGTGTGATAATGCATGCCTTTAGTCCCAGCTACTCAGGAGGCCAAGGAGGGAGGATTTCATGAGGCCAGTCTGGGCAACATAGTAGGACCCATTGCTACAAAAAGAAAAGAAAAGAAATTATCTGAGCATGGTGGCACATGCCTGTAGTTCCAGCTACTCAGTAGGATGAGGCAGGAAGATCACTTGAGCCTGAGAGGTCAAGGCTGCAGTGAGCCGTGATTGTGCCACTATAATTACTCCAGCCTGAGTGACATGGGGAGACCCTGTCTCAAAAAATCCCAGCACTTTGGAAGGCCGAGGCGGGTGGATCACCAGGTCAAGAGATCGAGACCATCCTGGTCAACATGGTGAAACCCCATCTCTACTAAACATACAAAAATTAGCTGGGCATGGTGGCTCACGCCTGTAGTCCCAGGTACTCGGGAGGTTGAGGCAGGAGAATTGCTTGAACCCGGGCGGCGGAGGTTGCGGTGAGCCGAGATTGCGCCATTGCACTCTGGCCTGCGTAACAAGAGCGAAACTCACCTCAAAAAAATAATAATAATACATAAATATACATTTCATGAGAGGCCCAAGGAGGAGGACAACATTGACGTCAAACAAGGAAACCCAGCTGTGATGAGCTTTGACAATGTCCCCCTCCTTTTACCTTGAGGAAACCTCAGGTTCACTGTGTCAGCTCACCCCATCTGACCCACAGCCCATCACCTTCCTCCCAGTGGGTGGAAGGATTCTCTCAAAGCTCCAGCAGGGCATGGCTGAAGGAGCAGGGGCTGAGGCCTGAAGTCTGAGCATGGCTGAAGACGGAATGCTGTTTCCTGAAACCATGCCCCTTATCTCCAGATGAATAAACTTGGAACATAGAAAATTCCTAAGGGTGTACAACACTGGTAAGTTCAGAATAAATAAATGTGTTTGCTTATTAATATTATAGCACTGTCAGCTCCGAAACCTATGTGTATTATTGTAGAAAAGAGAGCTATTAAGATTCAACTATTAGGAGAGAAACACGAGAAGAGAAATCAAAAGAAAGGGAAGAGGAGCATAATAAAGAGGCCCATTAGGAAGTGGGGACAGAAAGAACAGGTGGGAGGAAGGAGCCAGAGGAAGGCCACGGTTAGCAGGAGGAGTGGAGAAAACAATGGGAAGAGACAGCAAATAAATGTCCATCCTGTTTCCAGAGTCAGTGTGAGACTCAGGCACTGCCGCAGCCAGACCACATGACTAATCGGCCTTAATTGTCATGAGTTGACTCTCCAGGCTGGGGGTCCTAGGCAGCTTTCTCTGACTGGCTGGCTGACACTTCAGGGTTCTGCCCTCATGCAGCCTTGCCGCTTGCTCCATGCTGGCGGACGTTTGCTTGGGGCCACCTTCACTCTCTAACCGTCTTCTGCTTTTTAACTTGGAGATTGTTTCCGCATCTAGAAAGAGGGGATGTTCTAGATGGCACCTGTGCATGTGTGGGAGGGAGGCAGAGATGGAGAAACTTGTAACTGCCTCCACCACCCTGCCCAGTCCCTACTGTACACCGAGGCCGCTCAGCAAGGAAATCTTAAAACAGAGTCACTTTAAGGGTGGCCTGGGATCATGTGCTCTGTGGCAACCAGGGTGGATATTGGTCTGTAACAAGTCAGTGAAATAGTGAGGTTCAATTACTTACATGTTCCCTGAAGCTGAAACAATTGCCATTATCCCACATAATATTGCTTGACCTACATTTTTACTTGAAAGCCTTCAGCTAACAATTAGTTTGAATGTTGAGTTATAAATGAACACATTCATATTCCCGAAATGAAAAGGGAAAGGGGCGTGATACCAACACGGTTCCCTCTGTCCCGCCCTCTCTTTCCTTTGCCTTTTGTATGATATTTCAACTTAGCTTTTCCAAGATGGAAGTCATTGGAGAGTTTGTCTAAAGGGGGACCGTTCAGAGGTAATGAGACAACTGGGCTTTATCCGGAAAAGGGGCAGCTTGGTCGGTGCCAGGGAGATTTGAGCCATCTGGATTAAAAGGGTCAAGCTCTCCGCAGGCAGCAATTAAGCAGCTCCATGTGGAGAAGCCACGTGACCACACCAAAGGAGCTGCCAAGAACAGGAGATTAGTAAACAAAAGTACCCAGCAGGAGGTGTCCAGGTTGGTCACTGCTCTGGCCACTTGGCATTTGCACAGCTTCCTCTCTCTCTGGCATCCCATCTGTCTGTACCCACAGCCCACCCATAAGCTATCTGCAGAGTTTAAACAAACTCAGGCAGAACGGAGTTTATTTAAAATGTTAAAAGTCCAGGGCTTAGTCGATAGTGATGATAAATCTTAGACATACTCAGCATCCCTTTCCAAGTGTTCTGGCAATGCCTCTGATGTGTTTGATGACTCTTCGCTGCCTCACTGTGATAAGCCCAAAGAGGGACTGCCACTGAGCAGAGATGCTTAATTCCCTGAGCGTGATCATTTAGCCATAGATATTCACAACTAGGTTAGGAAGCATGTGCCTGGATTATTTTAGTGTAGGTCTTTGTGAAGGCTTGAGAATAAGTTGAGTTCTCCTTTCACTCTAAGAATCTTTCCGTTTAAAAAAATCCATAAAAGGCATGTAAAACTCCCAAACATATACCTTTCGTTATTCAATGTACATTTACTAGCCAGGCACTGTATTAGCCCCTGTGGCTAGAATAGACACCATTCTCATGGATGTTACCCTTTGGCCAAAAGAAAGAGGCACAGGAATTGGGACTGTCGGCTGCTCCCTACACAAGTCCTCTTCTGATTGCCAATGAAGTCAGTTTCACACAACACAAAACTAACTTTTTTCAAGGATTTGTAACATCTTGAAGTTTTCATGTGACCTGCAATGGGCTAATTAATGTAGAATGGTAGTTCAAGTAAAAGATTTATGCTGGCCGGGCGCGGTGGCTGAAGCCTGTAATCCCAGCACTGTGGGAGGCCGAGGCGGGTGGATCACGAGGTCAAGAGATCGAGACCATCCTGGTCAACATGGTGAAACCCCGTCTCTACTAAAAATACAAAAAATTAGCTGGGCATGGTGGCGCGTGCCTGTAATCCCAGCGACTCAGGAGGCTGGGGCAGGAGAATTGCCTGAACCCGGGAGGCGGAGGTTGCAGTGAGCCGAGATTGCGCCATTGCACTCCAGCCTGGGTAACAAGAGCGAAACTCTGTCTCAAAAAAAAAAAAAAATTATGATTTTTTTTATTATTATTATTTTTGAGACAGGGTTTCATTCTATTGCCCAGGCTGGAGTACAATGGTGCAATCACAGCTCACTGTATCCTCAACCCCCCAGGCTAAGAGATCCTCCCTCCTCAGCCACCTGAGTAGCTGGAAGTACAGGTGCACCACTCTACCCGGCTAATCTTTTTTTCTTTATTTAAAACATTTTTTTGTAAAGACAGTGTCTCACTTTGTTACCCAGGTTGATCTAGAACTCCTGAGCTCAAGTGATCCTTCTGCTTTGGCCTCCAAAAGTGCTGGGATTATGGGCATGAACCGCTGCGCCTGACCTTTACATTTTTCGAATGGGCGAACGGCAGCTTACTGTGCAGCAGTTTATCATGGAAACAATGTATGATGCATTCTCATTGTTCCTAATGTTCTTGATTTCCACGACTCATCACTCCCTCGTTTTCTTTGTCCAGCTTTTCTGAGCTCTGCATGGCGCACTACATCATCTCGAATGTTGTCACTTTAAGGACTTGTCTCTGTGTCTTCTGTGTCCTGTCTGTACATACACACCTGGACTCTCGTTCACAAATTGACGTCTTGGCTCCAACACCTCCACTGAGCTTCAGACTTAAAGGGACAGTGATCTGATAGAAAGTCCCACACAAACATATAATGATCATGCTCACCATAAATTCTGGGGTGATTCCAAGAGGACATTCCATGTACATGTCTGAAAGAGAATTTGTTTTGCTCATACCCTGTTAATGATGCCTACTCCTTCCCAGTAAAGAACACCTCCTTCCATGCTGTTGTTCACACTGAAATTGCCGCATACAAACTTTACTCCTCCATTATCATTCCTCCCCATCTGGTCATCTCCATTGTTTCAAATCCATTCACATTTTGTTCAGTGAACTTCCAAAATATATCCCCGATGCATACCTTTACCTCTGTTTCCACAGCCTTCAGTTTAATCCACTGTCATCAAAGTGACCACAGCTGCATGAGCCTCCTAAGTGACCTCTTTGTTACCTTGGCTTTCCCTTGATACTCTGTTCTCCAAAAGAAATGCAAACATATATTTTTCAGGAATGAAATAGTGGCAAGTGTAGCAACTTGGATGGAATTGGAGACCATTATTCTAAGTGAAGTAACTCAGGAGTGGAAAACCAGACATCATATATTCTCACTCATAAGCGGGAGCTAAACTGAGGATGCAAAGGCGTAAGAAGGATACAGTGAACTCTGGGGACTTGGGGAGACGTGTCGGGGGGAGTGAGGAACACAAGGCTACATATTGCATGCAGTGTACACTGCTTGGGTGACGGGTGCACCAAAATCTCAGAAATCACCACTAAAGAATGTATCCATGAAAGAAATTGTCACCTGTCCTCCAAAAACCTATTGAAATAAAAAATTTAAATATTTTTAAAACATGACTCATCTATCATATTGCTTTCCTGCTTAGAACCTTTTTAGCCAAACCCTTCATACTTAAAATCCAGTCTACTCATCAAGGTGTCAAGACCTACAGGATTTAGCCCCTACTTTCCTCTCACTTCCATGTCCACTCTGTCTCACTGGGCCACCTGGCCAGCCTGACAGCTCTCCTCTTGGCTCCGGGACACCCAGTTTTTCCTCTGTCAGCACACTGAGTGCACTTCAGTGTGCACTGTACCCAATGTGTAATCTCTTATCCCTCCCACTCTTTCCTGCAAGTCCCCAAAGTCCATTGTGTCATTCTTATGCCTTTGCCATCTCACAGCTTAGTTCCCACTTGTAAGTGAGAACATAGGATGTCTATTTTTCCATTTCTGAGTTACAATTTGCCTGGTTCTCGCCTCTTCTGTCCCCCAGGCCTCCACTTGACAAACTCCTGCTTACCATTTGGATACCAGGACAAATGTTATCTCCTCAAAATGGACTTCCTTAAAGACATAAGACTTTTCCCTTGGGCTCAGCTCTAGCCCGCTTCCCTGTGTGTTGTCTTCAGAGCACTTACTGTGCTCTGCAATAAACTTATATCTTTTTCCTTCTTGTCTCTTCTGAGTAGTGCACAGGCTCCAGGAGGGGAAGGCACCGTCTTTTCTGTGCTATACCCCAGAGACTAGAACTTTTCTTGGTGCAGACTTGATGCTCAACAAATATCTGCTGAATAAATGAATAAACGATTACATAAATGAATAATGCGCTCCTCTTTCCATAATTTTGGTTTTCCGGGCAACGAAAAACTTAGGAAATAATATGGTCTTCAAGGTTTATACATGTCTTATCTCTGCCAAGGACAGTTGCCTCTCCGGAGAGCTGACTTGACATACGGCTGAAGCACCATCGAGCGGACTGGAGGAATGCTCTGATCACATTGCCCTGTGGCATGGGGCTTAATCAGCCTTTCCATTTTTGGCTAAATGGCTTCACTGCAAATGCTTTCAATCATATCCATGTTTGGCTGAAATTTTATGGCGAAACATAACTTAGGCGGATTTTTATTTGAAAATTACAATAAAACAAACTGTTCTTTCTAGACATATGTTCAATATTTCAGTGAATCAACGTAGAGTTTTTTCTTGAACTTCTCTATTCATATAGAATATGAATTCTCACTTTTGTCCTAAGAGAAGTAAAACTTAGGCCGAGTATGGTGGCTGATGCTTGTAATCCCAACACTTTGTGAGGCTGAGGTGGGAGGATCACTTGAGCGCAGGTGTCCGAGACCAGCCTGGGCAACATACACCTTATCTCTACTAAAAATATAAATAAAAAAATTAGTCAGGCACGTTAATGTGCTTACCTATAGTCCCAGCTACTTTAGAGTCTGAGGCAGAAGGATCGAAACCAGGAGGTTGAAGTTACAGTAAGCCGTGATTGTGCCACTGCACGCCAGCCTGGGCGACAGAGAGAGACCCTGTCTCAAAAAAAAAAAAAAAAAAAAAAGAGAGAGAGAGAGAGAAATAAAACTGTGATCCAAAGTTTAATCCCTGTTTAAAATAGAATGAGTTAAGTCTTCTTGGTAGCAATGCATATGGCAGGAAGTCCCCAGAGATTTATGTGCATGCCACTGTGTTTGTGTTGTATGTGTGTGTATTTATATATCTGTACATATATAAATATAGATGTATTATATATACACACATATATGTATTTCTTGATTCTTTGACTTTTTAATCTCCTTTCTCTCTATGTTGAAAAAGTTTTAGAAAACAAAAACAAAACAAGCCTTCCAGCCAAAAATTTTTAGCACAAGAGAAGTAAGCAGAGGGATCTAGCATCCTGAGCTGTTTTTAATAAGCCTTAATACAGCTTTAATGCAACCCAGAGGTTTGGACGCAAAGGTAAACATCAGTTATCAGGAGCTCAAATTCCAATTCGTAATGCTGTGGTCCTCTGCGGTCCTTAGCAAGGCAGTACAGCTGCTCAGTGTCACAGCATGCCCTGTGTAAAACAGGGATTGTTTTAGGAAGATCAGTGAAAGTTTAAGAACTGACCTCCTGAAAAGAGTTGCGGATTCCTCAGACATCAAATTCAGCTCAAGAAAAATAAGAACCAGGCTTCAGATTCATTCCACCAAATGACTTCCTGTCTAAATTCTACAATAGGTAAAATAGAAGACGTTTCTTCTAACCAATCAACACCACCTGAAAGCTGGGTCCGTCTCCAAATCATGGTTAGTAATAAAGACGCTTCACCGCTAGTTTGAATTTTCTGGCGAGATTGTCAGCGATTCGTGCTTGAGGCAGAAGGAAACCAGTTTTATTCTTGCATAGGCGTTTGGCAAAGGAAGAGAGAAACTTTGCTTTTCTCAACAGAGGCTAGAAATGACTCAGACTACAAATAGCTACTCTGCCATACAACAAAAGGTCATCCCTCCCTCTCATTTTTCCTTTCCCATTTGTCCTGAATGAAGGCCAAGCTATATTTCCCCTTCTCTCTTTTCTCATCTCAAAATGCATAGCCTTCTTTATGTGGTGCCTTCTAGTTCTGGTTGGTGTGTGACCCAGGCTAACGTAGTGTTATGCAGATTGGAGCATCCTAAACAGACCACAATTGAATCAGTCTTGCCGCCATTTGTCCTTTCCACTATAAGGCATTGAATGGTAAATGAAAGAAACTAGTGTCTCTTATTCAGTCTAGTTCACTTCTTGCACACATGTTTCATAGAAGGGTACTGATCAACTCTTAGAGGAAAAATTACTAACGAAGAAAGACATTTTCAGAAACCATTCTCTTAGTAGATAATGAGGCTCCTTAGAGAATCTCTTGTGTTTCTCTGACTTGATAGAGAATGATGTTTCAGCTTTGGTATGGGAATGACTGGTGGAGTCAACAGCAAGAAAACGAGACCCCAGTGGGAGAGCATGTACTGCCAAGTACTATGTGGGCAGCACTGAATGCAGCCAAGAGGCGGCCTTCCACTAGAGAAGACCTCCTGCTCTCTCATCATGAGGTCCCCAGGCTCTCAGAGGGCAAGACTTGGATCGAATGCCTGTGTTGGCCTACTACACGTTTTCTGGGACTGCACACTTCCACACACACACGTTACATGATAAAATTCTTCTGGATGAGCAGGAGGGGCTGCCAATCAAATGCATCCCTAGGCTTCTGTTCAGACTAGCTTTGCGTGAAAACAACACCAACTCTGTTTTCTTATTTTAAAGATCACAGAGATAATCTTCCTTGGTCACAGTTGGGGAAACAGCCAGAAGGGGTCTTGGGACCTCCAGAAAAGCCCTGGAAGATATCTGAATTCCTGCTGGGCCCATTGGACCATCTTTTATGTTTTTAGACAGAAGGAAAAGTTACCCCAGTGAGATTCTGAAAGCAAGTCCTCCCAGTCAGTCATCCTGTCTTGGTATTGTTTATAGCTAGGTCCATCCCTCAAAGTGTTTCCTTCTGCATACATGCATACATTATGCACTCTACCTGATGGCTTTGATCAGGTTAAGGGCAGGAGCACGCGCTACCTGCATGTCTTGTGGCACTTCCATGCAGCCTGCATCCAGTCTCAGCGAGGCACTTCACCTGGGTGGTTGGTGAGATATTCAACTAGAGACTTGCTTCTTAAATAATGCTGGAATCATATCCACAGTTGTACTAAATGCCTTTGCGATTTGCATTTAAATAGTATTTTCCTCCACAGATCACAAAGAGGAAAGCTATCTTAACTCAACATCCTGACTCGAATTCTCTCTATCTGAAAGCCAGTCTGTGTGTACCACATACACATTGTCCCTCCAGGTGTCATTTAGATCTGTGTACCCTACTGATCAAAGCAAGTGTTTGCTTGCATTAGGATGGAAGCCCCCAGCAGCCCTGGTGTGCACGGGAGTCTCTGTGCTGCACCCGCTTCATCAACCCGGATCTCCATGAGCTCTGACTGCAATGCCTTCGCCACTGGCTGGGATGTGAGAGGCACTCCCAGATGGTGCGCTCAGTGCCAGTCAGTTAACACAGTCATCTCTTGGGTGGCCAATGAAGCCAGTTGGATCTGGAAATGATTGAAAGTCAGTAAATATAGACCCCCAGAGTCACCTTAGCAGTTGCTTTCCAGAGTAGCGTTGTGCTTCGAAGGACTCTGTGCAGTCCTAAGGCTCACTGTCCAAGCCCTGAGAGGACCAGAGAGACAAAGGGCTGGCTGGGCTTAGGGACAGGAAAGGGTGCAGAAGTCAACATCAGGCCCCAGCGTCCAGCCCCATGATGGCAGCTCCATGCTGATTCCTCGGTTTACCGATGCTGCAGCTCTTTCCACCTGACTCCAGGCTTTTTGTTCCTTTTCATGTCATTCTTCCTCATCTTGTGGAAGGATTTTTTTTATAATGTATAACTTATTCCATCATCAACACATTTTTCTCTTTCCCATGGATTCTTTAAAAGACTTCTTTTGAAGATGTATTTCTATTCAGTTGCAAGCTTTTGTTTAAAAAAATAAAAGAGGTGTAAATATGGAATGTTATTGAAAAGGTCTTATCTTGCTTTCGACATGACATCTAAAAATATGTTTGAAATAAAGAACAAGTGTTGTACAAGGCATGTGTCAAGGCGGTTGGCTTCTGGCAGTGAAAGCTAGGTAGTACTTTGAACACTTTTCTGCCCCTACAAAAGCCTCTTACAGATTAGGACCTTGCAACCTGGCATCCTCCTCTGTAAACGTCCCTTTCTGATCAGCCACGAGAGGGCAATACAGGGCACTTGGTTGGCTGCCTCAGTTGGATTGCATTCAGTAAGCTACCTTCAATGAGGGCCCTACTCAGTCTATGATAGTAATTATATCAGCCTCATAAAAGCCTGCTCTTCCTAACTTGCTGCTGCCCTTTTTCCTTTTCTGCCTGCCTTCCTTTCTTTCCCACACCCCTGGCCATTGGCTTTGCATTTGCAGCTAACTCACTCATGATCCTATAGGGCAGAGAAGAGTATATGAAACTAATGTTTGCATTTTAAACCCTGAAGTAGAATAATAGGTTGTTTCTAGGGTGAAGTATCTCGGAGATCATCAAGTTTAGCCTCTTTAACATGAGGAAACAAATCTGGAAAGGGGTCTGACTTGTTCAAGGTCCCACAGTATCACAGGTAGCCTTCAGGGGCATAGACGTTCTACAAATGTTTACATTTTCTTTATCCAGTCATCTGTAGTTGGACAGTTAGGTGGCTTCCATATCTGAGCTATTGTGACTGATGCTGCAGTGAACATGGGAGTGAGGAAAATCCTTTGGGATAGTGATTTCATTCTCTTTGGATATATACCCAGATTTTCAGCAACATGGATGAATGTGGAGGGCTTAGGCTAAGTGAAATAAGTCAGACATAGACAAACACTGAGTTATCTCACTTGTATGTTGATCTAAAAAATAATCAAACTCATAAAAGCAGGGTAGACTAGTGGCTGTCTCGGGTGGGTGGAGCGGGAGAGAATGTGAAGATACTGATGAAGGAAACTTTCAGTTACGTAGGATAATTCTGGAGATCTAATGAATGGCATGGTGACTGTAGTTAACTGGAAGGCCTACTTGAAATATGTGGAGAGTGGATATCAAGTATCCTCACCACAAAGAAAAGGAAAGTAAAATGGAGAGGAGACAAGGCGATAGACATGTTAATTAGCCTGGTTGCCGTGATCATTTCACAATGTATACGAGCAGGAAAGCATCAGATTGCACAACATAAATATATGCAAGTTTTATTTGTCAATTATTCCTCAATAAAGCTGAAAAAAAGATAACATTAGGGCAGAAGACAAAGGAATACAAAAAAATAAATAACATTTATTTGTAACACACAAACTTCCCAAGGCATTTGGCTCTGTAAAAGGAGGCTCAGCTGTGGTCTGGACGCTGATGCTCCATTCTACTCCCTGTAGCCTCGGTATTCAGCCGGGGACCCAGGAGCTATTGAAGAAGCCATGACTCAGTGTTTCCATGACCACTTGCCCTTGTTGTTCTAATGTTTGCTTAATTTACAAAATGATGATGTTGTGTTCCTCTCCCTTCATTGATTATCACTCAAACCTTGTACAAGCCCTTACATGCAAATCATTCACACACTGTGTGGCCAGGGCTGGTGAGCCCTGCTCCTTCTTCAGCTCTCAACCTGGGAAGATCCTTTCTTTATTGGGACAAATAAGCAAAACAACCTAAAAATGCCTTTACACATGCTCATCCTCCCCCTTGTAATGCTCTTTGCCCCATTCATCCTTTGGTTGACTGCTATAGCTGCTTCTAAACTCAGCTCAGATGCAGAGTGGCCTTCTCTGCGTCTCTTGGAGCTTTTCTCCTGTCTCCCATTTCCCTGGATTAGGCACTGTATTAGTCAGAAACCACTCTCAGTACAACAGTAGTTGGACTTGGTTGCACCTGTGATGCGAGGGCTGAGAAGCTCACGAGGAGAAGGCGAGGCAAGCAAGGGAGTAAACAATGGCTGATTA